CTGCTACACCACAGCGCCCGCCCCAAATAATGTGTTTTTTAAGCAGAAATACATTTGAACCAAGGCATGTCAGGTGATTGGGGGTGGCAGGAACTTATTATCCCTGTATTTCCCTAGGAGCTGTGGCTCAGTGTTCAGTGTGGTTCAGAGAACATAACTGCTATAGATAATGGCACTTGACTGTATGTATTCTCAACAATACTCAATTAATGTTTCCTGCAGTTGGCATTTAGTATTTCTATTGTATTCTATTTTGTAACAAAAAATGTCATGGCAGAACCTACTGTGGTGTAGTGGGTTAAGCCACTGCCTGCAGCACCTACATCCCATATGAGCACCAGTTTGATTCCCAGCTGCTCCACTTCTGATCCAGATTCCTGTTAATGTGCCTGGGAAAGCAGCAGAGGATGGCTCAAGTGCTCGGGCTCCTGTACCCACATGGGAAACACAGAAGAAGCTCCTGGCTTTGACCTGGCCCAGCCCCAGCTGTTGTAGCCATTTGCGGAGTGAACCAGCAGATGGAAGACCTTGCTCATAAATCTTTTTTTAAAAATGCCATGTCATTAGCAAATTCAAAACAGTAAACAGTAAACACACAGCAAAAAGATATGGTTCCATTGTTTTTGTTTGCAATATTTCCTATGTGAAATCTGCTGTCATCATTATTTTTGTTCCTCTGTATTTGTAGTGTCTTTTTGTCTGACTGTTCTTTTCTAAAAAAAAAAAAAATGTTTTATTTACTTATTTGAAAGGTGCAGTTATAGAGATGGGGAGAGCAACAGTGAGAGAGAGCGCGGGAGAGAGAGAGATCTGCTGGTTCACTCCCCACATGACCACCACAGGCGGAAGCCAGGAGCCTGGCACTCCATCTGGTCTCTTGTGTGGGTGCTGGGGCCCAAGCACTAGGGCCGCCTTCTGCTGCTTTCCCAGGCCACAGCAGAGAGCTGGGCGGGAAGAGAAGCGGCTGGGACTCTGACTGGTGCCCCTACGGATGCCGGCGCTGCGTGTGGCAGCTGAGTCCCCCGTGCCACACCGCTGGCCCTGGTTTTGTCTCTTGTTCTTGAGCTTCTCAAACCTGTGAGTTAACGGTTTTTGTCAAATTTAGAAAATGGTTGCTTTGCAGAAGGTTTTATCTGCACCCTCCTTCCTTTTGGGCTCTCGGTTACACGTGTTCCGGCGTCCTGGCCTGCAGCTCACCGATGCCCTCTTTGTGTTAGGGGGTTTCTTTCACTCCCTGTGTTTCATTCTGAATCGTTTCTGTCATGGGATCTTCAAGTTCATTAACCTTTCCTTCTGCAGTGTGTAAGCTGTCGATCTCATCCAGGGTATGTTTTGTTTCAGGTGGTGCGATTTTTATCCCTAGTTCAGTTCGCCTTTTTTTTTTTTATTTTTGTCTTTTATTTTAGTTTTTTATTTTGACAGGCAGAGTGGACAGTGAGAGAGAGAGACAGAGAGAAAGGTCTTCCTTTGCCGTTGGTTCACCCTCCAATGGCCGCCGCTGCAGCCGGCGCACCGCGCTGATCCTGGCAGGAGCCAGGAGCCAGGTGCTTTTCCTGGTCTCCCATGGGGTGCAGGGCCCAAGCACCTGGGCCATCCTCCACTGCACTCCCTGGCCATAGCAGAGAGCTGGCCTGGAAGAGGGGCAACCGGGACAGAATCCGGCGCCCCGACCGGGACTAGAACCCGGTGTGCCGGCGCCGCAAGGTGGAGGATTAGCCTATTGAGCCACGGCGCCGGCCTTTTTTTTTTTTTTTTTAAGATTTATTTTAGGCCGGCGCCGCAGCTCACTAGGCTAATCCTCTGCCTGTGGCGCCGGCACACCAGGTTCTAGTACCGGTCGGGGTGCCGGATTCTGTCCCAGTTGCTCCTCTTCCAGTGCAGCTCTCTGCTGAGGCCCGGGGAGTACAGTGGAGGATGGCCCAAGTGCTTGGGCCCTGCACCCGCATGGGAGACCAGGAAAATCACCTGGCTCCTGGCTTCGGATCAGCGTGGTGCGCCGGCCACAGGGTGCCGGCCGTAGCGACCATTGGAGGGTGAACCAACGGTAAAGGAAGACCTTTCTCTCTGTCTCTCTCTCTCACTGTCCACTCTGCTTGTCAAAAAAAAAAAAAAATTTATTTTATTTATTTGAAAGAGTTACAAAGAGAGGTAGAGACAGACAGAGGTCTTCCATCCCCTGGTTCACTCCCCAGATGGCCACAACGGCCGGAGCTGCGCCAATCCAAAGCCAGGAGCCAGGAGCTTCTTCTGGGTCTCCCACATGGGTGCAGGGGCCCACAGACTTGGGCCATCTTCCACTGCTTTCCCAGGTCACAGCAGAGAGCTGGATCAGAAGAGGAGCAGCCGGGACTAGAACCGGCGTCCATAAGCGATGGTGGCGCTTCAGGCCAGGGCTTTAACCTGCTGCACCACAGCGCCAGCCCCTGAGTTTGTCTCTATCATCATCTGTGTTTCTAGTTAATTTTTTTTTTTTTTAAAGGTTTATCTATTTGAAAGGCAGAGTAACAGGGAGAGACAGAGAGATCTTCCATCTGCTAATTCACTCCCCAAATGCCCGAGACAGCCAGCGCTGGGGCAGGCCAAGGCCGGTAGTCAGGAACTCTTACCAGGATTATCACCTGCGGCCTTGCCTGCACAGTAGCAGGGAGCTGGATGGAAAGTAGGAAGTAGGGGCCGGCGCTGTGGCCCGGCAGGCGGAGCCACGTGGAGTTCCAGGCTCCTGCCCTCGGCCTGGCCCAGCCCTGGCCTTCCGGCCGTCTGGGGAGTGAACCAGCAGATGGAACATCTCTCTGTCTCTTCCTCTCTGTAACTCTGTCTTTCAAATAAATAAATAAATCTTAAAAAAAAAAAAAAAAAAGTACGAAGTATCTGGACTCAAACCGTCACTGTCACACGGAATGCGGGCGTCCCAAGCCCTGGCCTAACCCCCTGCACCGTGCTCTCCCCTCAACCCCAAACTGAGTCAGCCCTGGCCACAGTGTCGCGCACACAGCAGGTGCTCCTCTGTCGGATGAGCGCGAGGGTGCTTGGTGTCTGCTCTCTGACGCCCTCTTTGTCCCCAGGGCGCTGCACTTGGCCGTGATTCATCAGCACGAGCCCTTCTTGGATTTCCTCCTGGGCTTTTCAGCGGGCACTGAGTACCTAGATCTGCAGAATGACCTCGGCCAGACGGCCTTGCACCTGGCAGCCATCCTGGGGGAGGCGTCCGCGGTGGAGAAGCTGTACGCGGCGGGCGCCGGGGTGTGCGTGGCGGAGCGCGGGGGCCACACAGCGCTGCACCTGGCCTGCCGCGTGGGGGCGCACGCCTGCGCGTGTGCGCTGCTCCAGCCTCGCCCCCAGCGCCCCGGGGACACCGCCAGCCTCTACCTCGCCCAGAGCCCAGAGCCCACCTCCCCCGTCAACCACACCTCCTTTGCCTCGACCCCTGAACCCGACTTGGAGAAGGAAGAGGAGGGCCGCGAGGAGGACTGGAAGCTGCAGCTGGAAGCCGAAAACTATGACGGTGAGGTCCCCGCGCTGGACAGGGCTCCGGGCTCGGCTTCAGGCCCCGGGGTTAGCGACCAAGGGTCTTTCCTCAGGCCCCAGATGGTTGAAATTGTACCTGTGTGAGCCAGGACCCCCACCCGGAGGCCTCAGACCACAAGGGACTCAGAACTGTCACCTCCGAGCCAGAGCTGCCAGGCCCCCTTGACACCCTGGCTGCCCGTGGCCCTGGCAGAGCCCCAGCTGCCCCAGGGTTCCGGGGCCGCCCTCCCACCCTGGCCTCCCCGTAGGCTCCTTGGAACCCAGGTCCTCTGTGGAGTAAGAGTCAGGCCTCCTGGCCCCAGCATCCAGGCCTTGTTCAGAGACCCCCCCGCCACCGGCACCGGCAGCAAGCTCAGACCGCCTGCCCTGGAGGCATTTGGGATCTGGGTGCTTCCCGGACTTAGCCCAGGAACTTGGGAGCCAGACCCCCAGCCTGATGACCGTCAGGCCACACGGCCGTCTCCCAGCATGCTGCCCATGGGCTGACGGCAGTCACTCTGTCCCCAGGCCACACCCCACTCCACGTGGCCGTCATCCACAGAGACGCAGAGATGGTGCGGCTGCTCCGCGACGCTGGGGCTGACCTCAACAAACCGGTGAGGTGCCCTGAGGGGCGGAGGCGGAGGTGGGGCCGGGGGGAGCGGCCCTCTGACCTCTCCCTGCTGCCCCCGCAGGAGCCCACGTGTGGCAGGAGCCCCCTGCACTTGGCCGTGGAGGCCCAGGCAGCGGACGTGCTGGAGCTTCTGCTAAGGGCAGGCGCCGACCCCACCGCTCGCATGTACGGTGGCCGCACCCCGCTGGGTAGCGCCCTGCTGCGGCCCAATCCCGCCCTGGCCCGCCTCCTCCGTGCACACGGAGCCCCCGAGCCTGCGGACGAGGACGACAAGCCTGGTCCCTGCAGCAGCAGCAGCGACAGCGACAGCGCGGACGAGGGCGTGAGTGGGGGGGTGAGACGACCTCGGGCTGACCCCAGGACAGGGACAGGATGGGCTGGGGTGGGCTGGGGTGGCGGGCAGAGATGGAGAAAAGCCCTCGGAGCGCAGGCCGCAGACTGTGGGGAAGAGCCCAGGCCACAGAGCCTGGGCAGCGGATGGCAGTGGGTGCTGGGATCCAAGGACTGCAGTCAAAAGCTGGGGGCAGGGTGGGGCAGGGAGAGCATGAGTCGCAATAGGGAGCAGCAGCAAGGCCACAGGTGGGAGAGCCGGGGCGTGGGAGCAGTGGCCTTGAAAATGGTATTCGAAGAACCAGGAACCGTGCCCGGCGTCCAAGGCAGCAGCTCTTAGTGTGGGGGCCGACTTGGGCAGCGGGCGAGCGGCAGCCACCTGAGCCCCCTGCCTGGCTTCCTTTGTCCCCAGACGGAATACGACGACATCGTGGTCCATAGCGGCCGAAGCCAGACCCGGCCACCTCCCACCCCAGCCTCCAAGCCCCCTCCCGACGACCCCGGCTCCACCTAATTTTAAACTATTAATATATTTTCCAATTTAATAAACCTTTAGTTCTGACAACCAGAGAGCAGCCAGGTGGTTGCCTTCCCAGCCTGCGGGCACCGCCCCCCCACCAGGGGGTTGCACGCACGGCGAGCTTTGCTTTTCTCTGCTTTATTCACTGGGAAGGGTTGGAGGGGGAGACAGGTAGCGGGCTGCTTCCTGAGTCGGGTCTGCGCCCGGCCCGCTGACCCAGCTCAGGCTTGCCAGGGTGGGCGTGCGGCAAGGTGCCGGGGAGGCAGCACGTGGGGGGAACAGTCCTAAGCCGTGGGGGGTGGGGAGGAGGGGCTCAGCCCGCCCTCTTGAGCTCCTCCCCCAGCGCCTCCGACACCTTCCGCAGCTCCTCTCTCACGTGCGCCAGCCGCTCGGCGTCGTGCTCCTGGTGGGATCGGAAATGCGGGCGGGGGTCACCCCAGAAATCGTCGTAGTCTGCCCTGGGGACCTTGCTGAGTGCCCCGGAAGTTAGGTTGGCCCGTGGGACCAGCACCAAGTCTGTGCCGACTGCCAGAACCAGAGCCAGGAGCAGGTGCCCAACTTGGGTGGCCCACGGGTGACCGCCACCAGTCGCGGTGACATCTTGCTCCCCAGCGATGTCCTGTGACAGCCCCGGGCACGGGCGCGGCGGCCGCTCTTCCTGGCGGCCAGCTTGCCCGTAGTGAGCCAGCAGCGGGGCGTCCTGCCGCATGCAGAGGCCTTGTGGGCACGTCGCCGCCTCCTCCCTACCCCAGTCTTGCTGTGTGCGGGGTTCCGCTATGTGCGGCTCACTCCTGGGGGTGGGGGGGCCCGGCCCCGCCCCCGCCGCGTGGGCGAGCCCCCGGCCCTCACCTCCCCCTCCGACCCTCACCTCCCTCTCCGCGGCCTCTTCCTCCTGCGGGTGCTGCGGGTGCTGGCCGTGCGGGGAGTCCTGGAGCCTCTCTCCTCCTCCTCTCTCCATCCCCTGCCACGGGCGGTGGCCTCTGCCCAGCACCTGCGCACCCATCTCCTCGTCCCCCCGCTTCTGGGGGCCCCCTGCACCCTCGAGACGAGGCTGCCACAGGTCCTTCAAGGTCTCCTCCAGCCCCCTCTTCTGTTCCTCCTCCTCCTCGCGGAGGAGCCGGCGGCGGAGCTGCTCCCGGGCCTCCGACCCGTGGGTCTCCTCCGCGGCCGCCACCTCGCCCCTCGCCTCGTGGCTGGGCCCTGGCTTCCCCTCGTCCGGCTTCATCAGGTCCCCAGCCAGCAGGCCTCTCTCGGAGGACACGCAGCTGTAGGGTTCTGACTCGCACATCTCGGACAGGAAGAGGACGTTCTCTGCACAGCGGACAGGCAAAACCCAGGCCTTGAGACCCTGGGGCCCTGCCTGAGGCCAGGACCGCCCCCTCCTGTCCACCCTGAGCTGAGAAGCGGGGCAGGGCCTGGCGAGCCCGGGCAAGGGGGCTCGGCTACAGGCAGCCCTGGGCGCTGGGGCCGGGGCTCCTCACCTTTGTGGAGCAGGGACATGCAGGGGCCTCTCTGGGCCTGGCCCAGCGTCAGCATCTCTGAAACCATCTCGGCCAGGCAGCGGGTCAGCTGGGGGCGGGGTGAGGGGTCAGAGGGGAGTGGAGGACAGGAGGATGGGGAATGAGAGCCGTTGGTGGGCTGGAGGGGCGGGGAGGGCTCCTGGAGGAAGTCGGGAGGGCAGGCAGGACCCCAGCGGGCCTGGCCGGGCCGAGGCGGGGGGTGGGGAGCGGGGGTCCACCAGCTCACCTCCTGCTTGGAAGGTCTTTGTACCAGGGGAGCGGCGGTGGCTGTGGAGGAAGGAGACCGGTGCTGGGCAGGGCGACCCCGGGTGGCGCTGTCCCCGGTACTGATCACAGCTCCGCGGGCGCCCCCGGCCCCCAACACGTGCTCCCCGTCCCATCTGCGGGGTGCACGGACCCGCCCCCGTCACCCGGGTCCCTGCTCGCGGGAAGGGCGCCAGGGCGTCCGGGGTGGTTTGTGGCACTCACCGGCCGCCAGCAGCAGCGCCAGCAGCGCGGACGCGAGCCCACGGCGCGGCATGGCGGGGCGGCGGGGCCGGAGCTGAGGTGTGTGGGGCGAGGAACCAGGGCCCTTATAACCCCTCGTGGCGGCCCCGCGGGGGAGGAAGTGACGTCAGCGCCGCCCTCCTGGCTCGCGGCAGGGCGACAGCTGCCGGACGGCCCGCCCGCCCCAGACCCTCAATTATTCATGGGGGGCCCGCGTGGCTTGCGGCGCCGAGGGAGGGGGCTCTTCTTGCACACAAGCAGCGTGTTAAGAGCTTCTGGGCCACAGACCCGAGTTCGAATCCACAACCACTCACGGTCCAACCTCAGCAAGGCCTCCCCTCGCTGGGCCTGTTTCCCCGTCTGGGAAGTGGGTCTCTTAGGGCTAGAGGTGGGGACAGCCACCTACCTCTGTACGCTGGGCTTCCTCCTTTGATACACAGCTGGTGACGACTGCACAGGGCCTGGCACTGGGGACCGCACCGCCCATCGTTTTTCCTGAGCACCTACTATGTGCCAGGCCCTTTCCCTGCCTGCGGCTGCATCAGTGAACAAGTTGGAGGCAGCTTCCAGAAGCTCACGGAGAACAGAGCTCCAACCGCAGGATGTTTTGAAATGACATATACTGGGGTGTCCATAATTACACCTGTATTTTAATTCTATCTTTCCACCACCAAGTCCCCTCACAGACACTGTATTGGAGGGGTGACCTCCTCTGCGTGGCCAGGGATAGGCCTGAGTAATAAAAAGAGGCAGGCAAAGCCCAGTGGGGAGGGGGCTTGGGGAGGGACCACAGCAAGGCCGGCTGGGTGGGCCGTGACAAGGGCTGCGCAGGACTGGGCAGGGCAAGGCTCAGGGAGCTAGTGCCCAGGCTTCTGTGACTTCCCAAGTGGGACAACAGGTGGACAGAGCCAGCACAGGGGCCAGGTGCAGTGGGCAGCTTCTGGAACATTCTGAAGGTCTAGCTGAACTGGATGTTGGGCCTGGGCACCTGGGCAAGGGCCCGACAGAACCACACCCAGGGGAGGAGCGATCATTGGGTCGTCTGGGCTCCATGGAGTTTGTGGCGCGGTTGGAGCCCACCTGGTGCTGGGGAAGGGGCGGCTGGCCATGGAGCTAGGGACTTGGGCTGGGGCTGAGGCAGGGAGGGTGCCCTTAGGTGGCGAGTCTGACCAGGCACGCTCTCGGCGCCCCCTGGTGGCCTGAGGCGGTCCTTCATGCACTCTGGGGCTGCAGACCACTTACGGTCCTTGCGCCAAAGCGGCCAGGGCAGTTCTGCTGTTGCTCACTCGCAAAGACTTTTTAAAATTTATTTATTTGAAAGGCAAAGCTACACAGAGGGAGAGACACAGAGAGAATCTTCCACCCTAAATGGCTGTGCCGGCCAGGCCGGGCCAAACCCAGGAGCCTTCCCAGGTGCATCAGCAGGGGGCTGGGCTGGAAGTGGAGCAGCCGGGACTGGAGTCGGTGCCCGTGAGGGGCCACCTTTGTTTGGGTCATTTACTGGGGACCTTGGCGCTGGGGGATGCAGGGCTCCTCCTCCCTGTCCACCCCAGGCAGGACCACAGTGGCAGCTGGGCTAGTGCCTGATGCCGCGGAAGGCAGGGAAGAGGGAGGGGCGGGCCGTGGAGGGAAGCAGTGTCAGGGTGGGCTCGGGGCGTCAGGTGGCAGGCGTCTGGGGTCTCCCGAGCCCCTGGAGCAGCGGATGGGTTCTCAGCTCAGCGCAGGCTGCCCAGGGAGCCGCGGCTTCTGGGGCTGGTTGGGGCCGATGTACTGGAGAGGCACGTGGGTGGGCGCCGTGATCCGGTCGGTGCCCAGGTAGGGCTGCAGGGCAGGCGGCACGCACACCGAGCCGTCCTGGGACAGAAGAGCGGGCCTCAGGACGCTGCCAGCACCCAGCCCCGCCGCGGCCCCGCCGGCGGGCGCCCTCCGACCCCTCACCTTCTGCTGGTTGCTCTCCAGGAGGGCGATGAGGAGGCGAGGGACAGCACAGGCCGTGGCGTTCACCTGGGGCACAGGTGTGCTCAGCACGGGCGCCGAGCCAGCCCTAACCGGGGCGCGGGGGCACTGGGCGAGCCCTTACCGTGTGGGCGAACTGCAGCTCCCCGGCCTCTGTCTGGAACATGATGTGGAGGCGGCGGCTCTGGAAGTCGGTGCAGTTGGAGGCGCTGGTGACCTGGAAGGCAGTGGCGGCTGAGAGGCAGCCCCTCCTCCGCCATGTCCTGCCAGGGGCTGGGGCTGGGGCGGGGGCTCACCTCCCCAAAGCGGCCGCGGCCTGGCATCCAGGCCTCGATGTCGAACTTGCGGTAGGCGGGGAGGCCCAGCTCCTGGGTGGGCATGTCCAGGACCCTGCAGCAAGGACCCGGCGCGGGGCGGGTCAGCGGCGGCAGAGCAGGAGGGAGGAGTGCAGGCAGTGCTGGGGCCGGCGGGGGGAAGGCGGGTGGGTGCCCGGCACCCCCAGTTCTTTGCAGAACCCAGAAAACAAGCCCCCGGTCCTCAAACCCGATTGCTGTGTGACTGACGGTGGGCGGGAAGAGGGGCCTGCAGCGCCCCCTCTCCCCACCCCTGCTCCCCAGTGGCTGGGAAGAGGCATGGTGGTGGGGCGGGGATCCGTGCCCGGGTGAGGGTCCTGCTGCGCTCCACCCCCAGCTGCCGCTAACACACACACTGGGAGGTGGCCCTTGGGGCCCTGTGCCCACATGGGAGACCTCAACTGCGTTCTGGCCTCTGGGCTTTGGCCTCACCCAGCCCTAGCTGTTGTGGGCATTCGGTGAGTGACCCAGAAGACAGAAGATCTGTCCGTCTCCACCTTTCAGATAAGATAAATAAGTAAATAAAGGCTGGAGGGGGGATGGGGCGGGTGGAGGGTGGGAGCCACAGGGGGAGGGGTCTGCACGGTCCCTGTGACCTCACTCGGGAAGACGGGGCAGGGGGCGGCAGGTGGCGAGAAGGTTCCAGGTGGAGGAGCACACAACCAGTCCCTGTCTCCCACGCCCCGCCCCGCCCCTCCCCGCCCCGCTGCCCACCGGAAGTGCAAGCCCAGCTCCGTCAAGATCTCCATCTGAAGGGACAGGAACTCCTCCAGCAGCCTCGAGCTCTGCTCCAGGCCGGGGCCCGTCACCCCGAACATCTCCACCTGCATGGGCAGGGGCGTGGGGTCAGCAGGTTGGGGGCCACAGGGGGAGCCCGGGCGGCGGCAGCACTACCCACCTTGCTGAAGTGGTGGACTCGGTAGAGGCCCCACGGCTCCTTCCCCGTGTCCGTCTCAGGCCGGTAGCAAGTGCTAGAACAGACCATCCTGGCGGGGTGGGCGCATCATGTCCTGGGCAGAGTCGGGCGGGGCCGGGGGGGGGGGGCAAAAAGAATGGACTTTACCTAACAAGCGGGTCCCTGATAAGCCACCCGGGTGGTCCATGAAGTAGCCTAGGAGGGGAGGGGGCGGCAGGGGGTCAGCCAGGCTGCCACCACCATAGGATGCCCCCGTGGGAAGGGGACCCAAGCCCAGGTCCCGGAGAATGACTGCACTGTCACTCTACGGTTGCACAGTAAACAACCTACACAACTGTCCATGTCAGCACTGGTGGCTGTGCTGTCCTGGGCAGGAACCCCACCTGCCCCCATCCCTCCCACTGCTCCTCAGCCCCCTACCCCCACGCAAGCACATGCTCACCTGCCAGTCCCACCTCCGCTGTCCCCGCCAGGTTGAGGTCTTCGAAGCGTGAGGGGTCAATGTTATAAATCTGGGAGGGACTGGCGTTTGGTGTCATCCCGCAGCCTTCCTGGGGGAGGAGGCCAGGCTGACCCGTCCGTGGACACCTGGAGCCTGGCCTCCCTGCTTTCCAGGCACAACCCCGGGTCCCCTCCTGGAGGATTCTGGGATCACCGTGGCCTCCCTCCCTGTTGTGGCCAGACCCCACCCCCCCAACCCAGCCTCACGCTGGTCTCCTGGGGGAGCACTGGGCCCCAGCACAGGGCCTCACTCACAAACACAGCTCCTCGGAGGAGGTCAGGCACGGCCATGGGGGTGAAGCCCTGTGGGGACAGAGGCCAGAACACAGTCCAGGTGGGGCAGTGAGCAGCACAGCCGGGGCCCCAGGCCCCAGGCTCAGCCTGAGCAAGCGACCGCAGAGGGAGCGATGGCTGGCCCCAAGCCCTCACGGCCCGGACTCTGGGGCCCTCTGCAGCGGGCTTGTCTGCTGACCCACACGGGGAGGTGGGCGGTGGGGTCCGACCATGGCCTCCGGCAGGCGCAGGCCAGCCCCTCCCCTGGCCCACCCCCCCACACCAGCGGCCACCACGCTCCCCTGATGCTCTCCTGCTGCGGGCGGGCAGGGAGGCCGTGGCCACAGGCATCCTTGCCTGAGACCTCGGGTCACACACCACCCCCCACCCGGCCGCCAGTTCCCCATCTCTAAAGTGGGGGTACCAGCGGGCCCCACCTCATGCAGTTGTGCTAAGAAGTGAGTGTTATCAGTAACACACGCAAAGTGACCGGGGCCCGGGGTACCCCTGCCCCCTGAGCTCAGCTGCAATGCCACCCCCTCCAGGCAGCCCTCCCGACCTGGCCCATACCCGACGGACAAGCTTGTTGAGTGCGAAGTTGACCAGGCCGTGTTGCAGGAGGGCCCCAGCCCCGCGCAGGTAGTAGGACCGGTGGCCAGACACGTGGGACAGGCGCCTGGAGACAGACGGGCGGATGCGTCGGGGTGTAGGAGCCAGGGCTGGTAGGGGCGGTGGGGGACCTAGCAGCTGGGGGGCAGAGACCCAGCTGCCAGATGGGGCCTGGGCATCAAACATTCATGCCGGGTGTGGCCCTGGCCTCGCCCCATCCCAGGCTGAGGCCGCCAGGGACCGGGCAGAGCCGGCTGCCAGCTGCCAGGCGGGCGGGGCGGGGCGGGCGGGGCTCGGGCTCACTTCTGTCGGATGATGTCCAGCTTCTCGCCGATCTCCAGGTGGCCCCGGGGCGGGAAGGAGAAAGCTGGGGGCGGGGAGAGCACCCAGTGAGGGGGGCACAGCGCAGGCATGGGGAAAGGGTGGGGAGCCGAGAGGCAGAGGTGCAGCGAGGAGGCGGCAGGAGGAAAGGGAGATAAAGGCCGAGGTTAGAAAGCAGAGGAGGGGGCAGGGCCGGACACACGGCGTCCAGGAAGGAAAGCCCAGGAGAGGGAGGGGCTGCGGCAAGGGGGTCAGAGACAGAGAGGGAGAGGGACATGTGCACGCGCACACACGCCACACACATGTACACACACCACACACGTGAACACATGTGCCATACACACAAACCACACACATGTACACGCACATACCACACACACACACACACACACACACATGTATACACCACAAGGCCCAGCCATGGCCGGAAGACAGAGCTGCCTCCCACAGCCCCACAGTGCCAGCCCCATCCTAGACCCCAGCCTGGGGGCCCCGCCCCCGCACGTGGCCCACCTGGCTTGTCGCCCACCACGTGGAGCACCCGGGCCTGGCTCTCATCCCCGACGGGCTGCAGGGAGATGGCGGGCGTCACGGGGAGGCGGCGCCGGGTGGGTGCCCGGCCCCCTCCCGCCGCGGGCGCTCACCACGTCCGGGTGGGTCTGGTTGGGCAGCCTCAGCGCCCGCAGGTAGAACCGCTCCTCAAGCTGAGCCTCCCTGGGGTACAGGAGAACAAGCTGCTTCCGGATCTCCCGGCCACGAGCCCGCAGACCCTGATACTGGGGGTCCTGGGGGTAGGACATGCGGGGTCCGCCTGAGAGGCGCCCGGGCTCCCTCGGCCGATTTGCCCTCAATGCTCGTTGGCAGAACCTCTGAGGTGCACAGCTGTCACTCCTCTGAGTCCACGTGCTGCCCGCCACAGGGACTGGCCCGTCGGAACCATGGGAGTGGGCCCCAGGACTCGCTGCAGCCATGAGGAAGGCATGCGTGGCCCCCACGCCCCCGTCCACGAGGCGGGGAAGCGGGCCTGGGGGTAAGAGCAGAGCAGAGCGGGACACGGAGCCAGGCCTGGATCCAGCCGCACCTGGAGCCGCCCGGCTGGCGTCGACTCTGCAGACTGTTTTTTCCTTTCCTGTCGCTTACAAAGGAGGGACCAGGCCCGACACGGGACTCTCCTGCCCACCCCCAACTGGGAACCCCACATAACTCCCAGGAGTACCTGCTGCACGGCATGGTTGTCCCGGTTTACCTGGTAGAGAAGAGATGGTGGGGGGGCGTTAGGTTGGCATTAGGTTGAGGAAGCTGGGCTGGGGAGGAGATAAACAGAGGGTGAAAGACCGGGCAAGGCAGGGGACCCGAGGCCCCTGCCGTCCTGTGCCTCGGTTTCTCTGTCAATAGGCTGGGCACTGACACTGATCCATTTCTTCAAGGCCCACCCTGTGTGGCTGGCATTCGGGCAGCCCCCCCACACAGGGAATTCCCAGAGAGGAAAGCCCGGCCTGAGACCAAGGGCCTCTGCGCACTGCGGGAATCGGGCAGATGGAGTGCGAGCGCTGGATGCCCGATCCGGGCCTCAGCACCCCCATCTGCGCAGTGGGACGATACGGGGCCCGCCTGGTGCGGCTGCTGTGCCCACCCACGCAGTCATGGGCATTACTGGCCGCCTCTCTGTGAACCCTGTGGTCTGGGGCCCACACGCAGAGGTCACTGAGACCCCCCGCATGCCTGTCAGTCGCTCCCTCCCTGTCACCGATGCTGGTGTGGTCGCCATGTCAGGAGGGCACCTGCTCGGGGGAGGTCTCCTCCCCTCGGACAAGGCCCTGAAGCCACACAAGGCATCGAGCCACAGGCCAGACTCGGAGGCCTGAGCAACACGGGGAAGGCGCAGGCCGAGAGGGAACGGGCTGGGGCTGGGACCCGGGGAGCCACTGCTTCACAGGGACAGCAGGGGACGCACGTCCACACCGGCGCGCTCCTCACGCTGCGTTTCCTGCTCCCGTGGCCAGAGGCAGCCCCGCCGCCCCTCCCCATGCCCCGTGGGGTGCCCACACTCACCAGCAGCGCCCGCACTGCCTCAGCCACAGCCCCCTTCTCGGCCTCCAGGCTCCGGATCTGCTCCCGAAGCTGCCTCAGCTCCTGCCACGTCGCGATCTGGAGGGTGAGGGGGCGTGGGACACAGAGACGTGGGGCAGCCGCCATCCCTCCCCTGTCTCTCCTCCCGGGCGCCTCCTCCTGCCTCCTACACCTGCAGTGGGGTCCCGTCCACCCCGCAGCGGCCATGCTCCCCTCTTTCCCTTCAGAACTAGAGCTCCCGCAGCCCAAGCTGCCCAGATGGAGATGCATCTCCCAGCTTCCCTTGCAGCTACACGTGCTCATGTGACCAAGGCCAACCAATGGACACGAGGGGGAGGGGCTTGTGACCCTGGGACTCTGAACTCTATCAGTGTTCCAAGCACTGGACCCTGATCTTCTAGCAGGTGCCACATCAGGATGTTTGTGACCTCTAGGCATTGCCCAGGAGGCGGGGCTTCGGGGTGAGGAGGTCACCAGGGCGGAGCCCTCGGGAATGGGACAGTGCCCCTCTGCCACGTGGAGACGTCCCATGAGGGGATGCCAGCCCTCCCAGGAGCCCAGCCCCAGACCTGCAGGAAATCACTTTCCCCTTCTCACAGCTGCCTGACTCCGGTTCTTTCCCAGCGGCCTGGGGAGACTGAGACGGTGGGCTATAAGACGGACCCAGGCTCTGCAAGCCAACACTCTAATGTCGCATGAAAGTCACCGCTTCCTACAGCACGCGTGGGGTTCAGCGGCACCACTCACTTCCAGAACTTGCTCATTATTCTACGCCCCGCCCACAAACCGTATCCCTTAAATAACTCCCCAGCCCCCTGCCCCCGGCTCCTGGCAGCCACTTCCCATGTCTGGAAGTTCGATGATTCCGGGCCCCTTGTGCACGGAGAATGAGCGTCTCTGTGGTTTGTGTCTGGCTTATTTCCCTAGCGCAGCGTCTTTAAGGCTCCCCTATGTTGCGACACGAATCAGAACCGAACCCCTGTCGGAGGCTGAGTAACGTTGTGTGTCCAGATGACGTTACCCAGGCGTCCGCTGACGCACACGTGGCGTCCGCACCCATTTGTCTTTGCTTTCAATTCTTCTGTTTCCCCCCAGGGTACCTGTCTTAAGAATGTTTGTTTCTTTCAAGATTTATATATTTGAAAGGCAGAGTTAAAGGGAGAAAGATCTTTCCTCTCCTGTTTCATTCTCCAGCAATGGCCAGGGCTGGTCCAGGCTGGAGTCCTGATACAGGAGCTCCTTCCAGTTCTCCACGTGGGTGCAGGGGCCTACGGACTTTGGCCATCTTACACTGCTTTCCCAGGCCATAGCAGAGAGCTGGATTGGAAGTGGAGCAGCCGGGACTCGAACCAGTGCCCACATGGGATGCCAGCACTGCAGGCGGCGGCTTTACCTGCTACACCACAGCGCCGGCCCCGACACTGGCTATTTGCTGTTCTGCTGTGGTAACAGCCATCCTAATGGGTGTGTCTCAGCCTGCCTTCTGCTGCTGTAACAGGATGCCCATACCGGGCAAGTCCTAGAGGAAGCAGCCTCTTCGGCCAAGGTTCTGGAAGCTGGCAGTTGAAGACCAGGAGGCCGCACGTGGCTAGGGCCTCACACCGCGGTACAGGCTGGCAGGAATGGGTACGAGAGGCACAACACGTGGCGGCCTCGCCGTGAGACAAGCTGCTGCACTCCCGCAAGTGAGGCTTTCAAGGGGCTGGCGCTGTGGCGTAGCAGGTGAAGCCGCCGCCTGCGGTGCCAGCATCCCCTATGGGTGTCGGTTCGAGTCCCGGCTGCTCCACTTCCAATCCAGCTCTCTGCTGTGGCCTGGGAAAGCAGTAGAGGATGGTCCAAGTCCTTAGGCTCCTGCACCTGTGTGGGAGACCCGGAGGAAGCTCCTGGCTCCTGGCTTCAGATCAGCACAGCTCTAGTCATTGTGGCCATTTGGAGAGTGAACCAGCGGACGGAAGACCTCTCTCTGCCTCTGCCTCTCTGTAACTCTGCCTTTCAAATAAATAAATAAAATAAGTCTTGATAAAAGAAAAATGAGAGAGGGGCCGGCGCTGCGGTGTAGTGGGCTAAGCTGCTGCCTGCACACTGGCATGTGAGCACCAGTTCAAGTCCCGGCTGCTCCACTTCTGCTCCGGCTCTCTGCTAACGCACCGGGGAAAGCAGCACAGGTACCCAGGCCCCGCCACCCCTGTGGGAGACCCACATGGAGCTCCTGGCTCCTGGCTTCAGCCGGGCCCAGCCCCAGCCACTGTGGCCATTTGGAGAGTGAACCAGTGGATGGAAGATCTCTGTACGTCTCTCCCTCTGTCACTCTGCCCTTCAAATAAATAAATCAATCAATCTTTGACAAACAAAACAAGAGCAAGCAACTTCGGTGTCCACTGTGGGTCAGCTGGGTCAGAACAGGAAACGTGTTTCTGACCCTGGGCCACAAAGACTGAAAAACGCCACCAAAGGGTGTGGGCTCTGCGGCACCTGTACGTGCACCCCCACCCTGTGGGCCTGCAGTGCCTGCTGGGGTCTCCCCTCAGGACACTGCGCTCCTGGCTCCCCCTGCCCAACGCCGCCGCAAACTGGGAGAAGTTCTCCCAGGCTCCTCTGCATTGCCTTCACAGCATTTATCAGAGAACATAACACTGGCATCCTATAATGGACCGCTGGTTCACGTCCCGGCTGCTCCACTTCTGAACCAGCTTCCTGCTACTGTGCCTGGGAAGGCAGCAGACGATGGCCTGAAGTGCTTGGGCCCCTGCACCCACGTGGGAGACCAGGCTGGAGCTCCAGGCTCCTGGCTTCAGCCTTGCCCGGTCCTGGCTGTGGTGGCCATTTGGGGGGAGGGTGAACCAGAGGATGGGTGATCTCTCTGACTCACCATCTTTCAAATAAACAAATAAATAAATCTTAAAAAAATAATAAAAGTTACGCGGACTCTGGAGCCAGACAGCACAGGTCGCTTCCACTCTGCCACTGCACCGTCTTGGACAAGTTAATTAACCCCTGTGAGTATAACCGAGTTCAGCACACGCTTCGTTGGGTTGGTGGGAAAATTACTGAGGCAAAAGTGTACGAAGTCCAGGGGAGGGCTGGGGAGACCCAGGGATCCCAACACACTCAGGGACAGAGGGTGACACCTGTTTCAGCTCCCTAGCATGTCGTAGGACGGACGTGAAGTTATTATTCTCAATACCTGAAACACTGACACACAGCAGATGCTCCCTGAATATCATTCAGCAGTCATTCATTTAATTCACTCATTCCCTTCAACAGTGCTACCTGTGCAGAACCCTGCCACTCTCCCCAAGCAAGAGCTCCAGCACCCCGGGCCCCGCCCCAGGCCCCATCTGTCTCCCTGTTTCTTTGTGGCCTTAGGATAAGCCAGCTCGAGATTGGAGCATTGAGGGAGCTGGCAGGTGGCAGAGCCCAGGGCGGGTACACACCGCGCATGGCCCAGGAGGCGCGCAGGGGCGTCCGGGACACGGCAGGCATCCTGGCACAGTACGCGGCGGAGACTGGCACACGAGTGGATGCCACGCACAAAACTTCGGCTAAACTTGAGGAGGAAGCGCCATTCCTGCCTAAGTCCACCCCGCAGCTCGGGCGCGCCCCGCGGCCCGCGCAGGCGCACTCACGATCTCCGGCAGGTCGGCAGGCCGCAGCTCCCCCTTGCGGAGTTCCAGGGCGCGCGCGGCCTCTTCTGGGCATGCGCACAGGGGCTCTATGTCCAGCTGAGGGAGCGCGCTGTAGCCTTCGCGCGCGTGCTCGTACAGAAGGTTCCGGTCCCGTCTCTCTGTAGCGAAACTTCTCCGTGGGCTCTGGCTGCACACGCAGCCTCCCCGGAGCCGGAGCCCTCGAGGAGACAGCAAAGACCATAAGCACCGCACCATGGACGCAGCCATCTTGGGCTCGGGACAAGGAGACACGCCCCGTTCGTCCCGCCCACTCAGCGTTTAAACCAATTGCAAAACAGCCGACCTGCTCGGGGCGAGCCAATCAGACCCCGGAAGAGGGTGCCCTCCCTACTTCAAAAATAATTCGATGCGGAAGGTTGACCGAGATTGACTTTGTCATTGCCCAATCGCCGTGTGTGTCCCGCCCCCTTAGTGACGCGAAAGGCAGAGCCCACCAATGGCTGCTGAATAACCCCCGGCCGCGGCGGAAGGCAAGGTTCGCGTGTCCGCGGGCATTCCTGGGGTCGGTGAGGTCGGCGGGTCCTGGGTTTCAAAGCTTTTCCCAGTGTGAGGGTGGCGGTTGCTGGGTCCCCGGCATCCTGTCCAAGAGCCAGGCTGAATTTGTGGAGAGCCTTTCTGGTGTGTGGGGGGCTTTACCGGAACGCCCTTCGGTTTCAGCTGTGAGGCCTGGGAGCGAGATGGCAAGAGCTCGGCCCCTGTCCCCTCCCGCTTCTCTCTGAGTCTCATCCCCTGGCGCAGGGAGCCCGCCAGCATGTCCTGGGCCGGCCTCCTCCGTGGCCTCCACACGTCCGTCCGTCGCGGTGAGTGGGGGTCCCGGGCGCAGGGCGAGGCGGGAGGAGGGCTGGCCCCTCGGGAGCGCACGTGCCTGTGCCGGGGCCCCGCGGGAGCCAGGGCTTGGATCGGAGGGGAGGCTGGACCGGGCTGGACGGCCCCGGCTGCCCGCAGGGCCGCTCTGCGTTCGGGGCCGTTTGGGTCGATTCCAGCCGCGCCCCGCATCAGGACCTTACAGGCGAGGAGCGGCCCGACGTGCGGTGCTGGTGCAGGGGGTGGTGTCGCCTGGAGACGTCGTTTGCGTCAGTACGCAGGGACGAGCTGGCATTTCTAAGGGTCTCCATCCCTGAGCGGCCCTGGGCGGTGTAATTTCTAAGAGCCTGTGCTCTTAGGTCTCACGCGGACATCGAGCGCTCCCTGTGGGCCCTGCCCTGTGTGAGGCCTTAGATTTGGCACCTTCTGTTTGCGGGACGAGCCTGGGGTGCCCGGGGGCCTCACGCACGCAGGTCCCCAGGAGGGAGACAGGGTTCTGTCGCAGGCTGTGGCTCCGGACTGGAGACTGGAGGCAGGTGTCTGCATAGCGGTGAGGCTGCTTGTATCCCGGCTTGGTATGGCTTCGGGGCTTGGTCTCTGCCACCTGCATGGGAGACCAGATTGAGCTCCAGGCCACAGGGCTCCAGCCTGGCCCAGCCCTGGCTGTTGCAGCTTTGTGGGGAGTGGGCCAGCGACGAAAGATCCTTGTCTTTGAAATAATATGAATTTTTAAAAATAAGTAATTACAAAAAGCAGAACTTATGAAATGTTAGAAAAGACATGGGAACGGACAGCAGGGCCAGCGGCTGCCCTGGGTTAGGAGGGGACTGTGAAGTCGGGGTGCTGATAGGGCATCTGTGCTAGGGACACAGGAGTAGGAGATGGACAGGGCCCAAGGCCACCTCGGTCACTGCTGAGTGTCCGTTACTGGGGACAAGCCTGGTGAATGTCTGTTAGAGAGAATCCAGTTTTTCTTATTTTTTCTTATTTTTTATTTAAAAGACACAGACAGGGATCCACTGGTCCACTCCCCGATGCCTGACCCAGCTGGGCCTGGGCCAGGCCAAAGTCAGGAGCTGGGCGGCAGGAACCCAGCCCTGGTGGGTGTGCATCAGCGGGAAGCCGGAGCTGGGAGCTGAGCAGGGCTCCGTCCCAGGCAGCAGCTTAGCCAGCTGCGTCACAGCGCCCGCCCTTTTATTTCTAACCAGCATTAAACCTGCCTTTTTTGAAGAATAAAATGAATTCATGTAAAATGCTTAAAGCAGAACCCGCCGCGTGGCGGAGGTGGTAAAATGAATGCTGGTGTCACCCCGCACCCAGAACAACGTCCAGGCCACCAGAATTGCCTGGTGGATCCTTTTATCTGCTGGGATACTAACCCCTCCCTGCCTGTGGTTCTCTCTCCAGGCCTCTCCCTGGTTCCCCAGCTCTGGGCCAGCCGGGGCATGGCCACGCTGAACCAGATGCACCGCCTGGGGCCTCCCAAGCGGCCCCCTACGCGCCCGGGCCCCACCGGGGGCCGGCCGCAGCTCAAGGGCGTGGTCCTGCGCACGTTCATCCGCAAGCCCAAGAAGCCCAACTCGGCCAACCGCAAGTGCTGCCGCGTGCGGCTCAGCACGGGCCGCGAGGCCGTCTGCTTCATCCCCGGCGAGGGCCACAACCTGCAGGAGCACCACGTGGTCCTCGTGGAGGGCGGCCGCACCCAGGACCTGCCTGGGGTCAAGCTCAAAGTCGTGCGTGGCAAGTACGACTGTGGCCACGTGCAGAAGAAGAAGTGACCACGGGAGCCGGGCACTGCTGCGGGACGGGACCTTTCCCACCAGGACACGGCTGCCCGCACTGGTGGGCGGATTGGAGAAAGGGCTGGCTCCGTCCACCCCCTTGCCCTAGTGTCGGCTTGAGGGGCCTGTGCTGCCCCCTGCAGGACTGGTGGAATAAACACAGAAACCCTTGCCGCTTTGGGCTCCGTGTGCCAGGGCCTCTGATACCTCTGGGCTTGCGTTTCCCCATTTGCATTCTCCTTTGTTCCCGATGCTCTGTGTGCATAGGAGGAGGGCCTTGTTTTCAGCTTTGCAGTCGGCAGGTGGCCCCCGCGAAGCTGTGACGCTGATGTGGAAGGGGCGCTGGGCAGATCAGATCGGGCCCTTTGATATCAGACTCACACACAGAAAGCTTTTAAGAAAGAACGCATTTATTCGAGAGGCTGAGTGGTGGCATGCCTCTACCCGCTGGCTCACTGCCCAGGCCCAACAGCAAGGCCGGGTCAGGTTTTTAAGATTTATTTATTCAAAAGGCAGAGTTAGAGGGAGAGAAAGATCTTTCATCTGCTGGTTCACTCCCCAAATGGCTGCAAAAGCTGGGGCTGGGCCAGGCTGAAGCTCTCCTGAGAGTGGCAGGGGCCCGAGTACCCGGGCCATCTTCCACTGCTTTCCCAGGGGCGTCGGCAGGGAGCTGGACCAGAAGCCTCGGCCTCCACGTCGGATTTTAAGGAGTGGGGACTGTGTTCCTATCACTGGGCGCTGGAGCCCGGCTGCAGCCCAAGCCTTGCCCCACCCCCATAGTCTGGTCATTCACACACTGAGCCTGGGCCAGAGGGCACTGCCAGTGTCGCCCATTTGAGAGCTGCAGGGAGCGGCACTGAGACGCGGCCTGGGAGCGCTGGGCGCCTCAGCTGTCCCGGGGTTCGGGCAGCCACCGGGCCTCCTGACTCTGAGTCTAAACAGGAGGCCCCCAGGCTTCTGAGGGAGGGAGCCGGAGGTAGACAAGTGCACAGATCACAGAACACACTGGCGGCCCTTGGGCCTAGCACCGTTTTTTTGGCCAGTTTGCCAGCTGCGCCCAGGGGGGACAGAGAGCGCGCCTCAGACAGGAGGTGGGCTGCCTTGGGAGGCGGGGCTGGGGACCTGGCTTCGGAGAAATGCTGCCAGGGATCCCCAAAATGGCAGGAAAGCTTTCCTTCGAAGCTGTTGGCCTGGTGGAGGGCAGATGCAGCCCCAACTGACCCCTGCTCCCCGCGTGCCTTACCCCAGACGCACCGACACATCACCATCACCAGTCGCCCCACTATGTAAATGTGGACTCGGTTACCCTGGCGGGCAAGTGAACTCAGTCTGGGTCACTTCTTGGTGCCCCCACCCAACCCCGGGAGCTGAGGGAACTGTAAACAGCCTGCTTGGCGCCCAGGCACTGTCACAGCACGTGGGCCACCGTCCGCAGCAGCAGCACGTGGGGCTCCTGGGCGGTGTGCCGAGGACAAGCCACGGGGACCCCCGCTGTCCCCCGGCCTCTGGCTCGCAGCTGCAGTCGGCCGGGGCATCCTGGCTGGCTAGGACAGGCGCCGGATCCTCACCTTCACGCTGGAGTGGGTGACCAGGGCGCCGTAGTGCCCCACCCAGGAGCGCGTGTCCCTGCCGTACTGCTCGAACGACACGTAGCGGATGCCCTTGCCAAAGTCGGTGAAGACGTGGGAGACCTGTGGGGGGAAGAGCAGGAAGGGGGCGGCCTGTGGCTCCCCCAGGACTGGGCAGGTGCTGGTCCTGCTCTAGGGACGGCAAGGCAAGCGGCAAAGCAGCAGACCCCACCCCGGGAGGCTGAGGGGGGCGGGGCAGGAGTGTGTGAGAAGCACAGGCCCGGCGGAAGGGAAGCTGAGACAGGCATCCTGGACGCTGCAGGGCAGGTGTGCAAGCCAGGACACCACCTCAAAGTCTATGACGACCAGGACAGCACGGGCTCGGGATGGGTCCTCCACGCCTCACTGTGACCCAGGGCAGGTCACATCCCCCCCCCCCGTGCCTCGGTTTCCTTAGCCCTAGAGTGGCGATAAGGCGAGGACTTTGGCCAGCACACAGTAGGTGCTCAGCACGCGTGGAAAGTCGACACGGCTGTTGTGTTAATGGAATGACCGGACAGGCAAAGCTCTCGGAACAGGAAGCCCTGTTCTTACAGGCCCGCGAGCGGCAGTGACGTGGGAGGACGGTCTGGACCCACCTGTCGGCAGCCCCTCTCTGTCCACTGAAGGACCGGGTTGGGCGAAGCTGAGAACTTGACCACTTCATTTTCGTACTCGTCCAGCAGGCGGACCCGGAGCCGGTATACGCAGCCGCAGTTCTCTCGGGCGCCCCACCTGCCACCAGGGGGCAGTGAGCCTGAGGGTCCCGCACACCAGCACCGCGTTTGCCCGGGTCGGGAACCCCCGGGGGAGGAGCCCGGGTGCTCCTGGAGCGGCTTCCGGGAGCTCTGCGTGGCTAGACTGGGGCCTGGAGAAGGAACTAGAACCTGGGGAGGGGGCGCAGGAGCCGGAGTGCTCTGGGCAGGCGGGGTTCTCCACAGTCCATGGGCTCTGCAGCCAGGCAGGCCCCGCACCCAACTGTGCACCTCCCCCCAAGCCTCAGTCGCAGAACATAGGGCTCCCAGCCCTCAGCGGGCCACGGGCTCGTCCCGGCTCCGCCCCTCCTTGCTGGGCAGCTGTGGGGGCTTGTGGGTGGGCCCGGGGCGGGACTGCCGCCCCCCACTCACCAGTCCGCCACACAGATCTCGATTTGGGCGCTGTCCAGCAGCTCCTGCCAGATCCCCTCCATCACCAGGTCCACGAGCTGCCTCTTGAAGCACCATCTGCAAGGGGCGGGCGGGCGTGGTCTCAGGAATTGGGCCGGGCGTCACCCACGAGGCCGTGCACTAGACTGGTGGGCCAGGCGTCACCCAGGGTCTGAGGCGCGGCCAGGACTCTGGCCCTCTGTTGCCTGCTGGAGCAGCCAAGAGGAGACCCCAGCAGGAGATGGAAGGGGAGGAAGGGCTTAAAATCCAGAATGAACCCTCCTGCTGTGTCCCTCGGAGACCCGGCCCAGCCCAGAGCGCCCTCTGCTCCCAGCCCTCTCCCAGCTCTGCTAACTGCCTCCTCCCCTGAGCTATGGGCCCGGACGGCCGTGCCCCTCCACAACACCGGCCCAGGGGACCGGCGGTTCTCCTTGCGGTCTGCCCACGGCCCCTCTCCCCTAGTCTGAGCAGGCCAGAGCAACATAAACGGGCCAGTGCCAGTGGACGAGCACAGAGGCCCCCTGGGGGCGGGGGTATGCATGGCAACTAAAGATGACAGGGCAGCCCCATACTCCACCGGGAACGGGGGCTTCCCGGGTAAGTAGCGCTGGGAAAACTGACTCAATATATGGGGAGAGGGGAGTGGGTCCTTATGGAACATCACACTCAGAGGCAGATTAAACACCTCAGCATGGAAGGCAGAGCCACCAGGAACCAGCGCTTGGAACCTGCAGCGCCTGTTCAGTCCCGGCTGCTCCACCTCCGAGCCAGCTCCCTGCTCCGTGCCTGGGAAAGCAGCGGAGGATGGCCCAAGCGGGAGACCCAAATGGAGCTCCCGGCTCCTGGCTTCAGCCTGGCCCAGCCCGGGGCCATTCCAGCCATTTGGGGAGTGAACCAGTGGATGGAAGCTCTCTCTCTCTAACTGCCTTTCAAATAAATCTTAAAGAAACAAAACCTATGTGGTTATTGGAAGACAGTATACTGTCTAAGAGAATACTGTTAGGATCTAGGGGTGGAGAAGGAGTCTATAAACAGAATTTCAAGAACACACACTCTAAAGCAGAAACACAGAGAAATTTGGTCACACAAAAGTAAAAGATTTCTATGCAACAAGGAACATTACGGACACAGTTCGTACAGGCGGCAGAGTGGGAGAAGTTTTCTGTAATTCCCAGGACGGACAAGGGACATCTAGGACACGCGGCACTTCCAAAGGTCAGGGAAGAATGGAACTAAAAGCCAAGTTTATTTTAGTGCAAAAACATTGAAGTGCATGCGTACAAGGCAGCGTTTTGGGGTTTTCATAGCACATAGCACAATTGGCAGCTCTGGAGCTGACCTGGGTTCAAATGCCACTTACTGCACATTGGCTCGGTTTCCTACTAATATTATAAAGCAGAGGCAATAATAGTACCCGTGTCACAGCGCTGTGGCCATAATTAAGTTCTATGCAAAGCATCTGGCATAAAGGAACCTCTCTCAGACGCTGTGCTGTTACTGCGTTTTCTTTTTTGGACTGTGTTTAATGTCTCCCATCTAAGAAAGAGCAAGCTGCCAATCCTTCTGATTCTCCCAGGCATCTACAAGTGTCTGGTACCCGGCAGACCGCCAGGAAACATCTGTTGACTGACTGGCCGACCAACCGACTGAATGGATGAATCAAGGTATGAGGGAAGCCGAGGGTGAAGGTGAGGACGGGGCCGGGGGGTAGGGTCTCCCTCTCCCTCTCCCTCTCCCAGCCACTCACTCGAAAGAAGTCACGAAGCAGGTCTGGGAAGGAGCCCCTGGCACCAGGGTGAGGTTCTTCTCCACGGCCCAGCCATTCCCGCCGTGCTCCACCTCCCAGCCTCTGAAGCCCTCTGTGTGAACAGAACTGGGTTGGACCTCGCTTTCGCCCGCCTGCTCGCCCCCAGCCCTGCCCCTGGCTTCTGCACTGTGCCGCCACTCAAATGCCGCCCCTTCACCCCCTGGCCACGCCCACTCGGTCAGTTTCCCTCCCCCACCTCCAATGCGGTCTACTCTTTCAGTACAAGCTCCGCCCCTGCCACCGCACTATTGGCTTCAGCCCGGTTCCTCCTCCGTCGGCCACGCCCATCTGGCTGCAGGCCCGTCCCAGACCCACCCCCGGCTCCTCCCCTGCTCTGGGCCCGCCCCGCCTCACTCCTGGCCACGCCCCGGCCACGCCCACAACACGCACGCTCTCCGCAGGAGTTGAAGATGAGGTTACGGCCCAGGGGGGCCCGCAGGCAGTAGCGCGCCAGGGCGCACAGCGGCAGCTCCTCCTGGTCCTCGCTGTTGGGCGGGCAGCGCTGGGCCAAGGCGTAGAGCGCGCGGCCCTGAGCGCTGCAGTCGCGGGCCAGCTGCAGCAGCCACACGGTGGGCCCGTCCACCACGTCGCGCCAGGCCCGGCACACGGGGCGGCAGCGGGTCACCAGCGCGCGCGGCGGCACGTGGCTCAGCACCTGCACCAACAACTCGGGCGGCAGCGCGTCCAGGGCCAGCGACGGCTCCGCGGGCGGCCGCTGCCGCGAGGGCCGCCCGCCCATCTCCGGCCTTGGCGCCCTGCGGGTGGAGAGAAGTGGGCGGGTCATGGCTCCGGGCGGATCACAGAGACAGACACACACACATCCCCGCCCCCTTATTTTAGCCCTGGACTCACTGCCCCTCGGGCTGCTTGGCGACCTCACAGCAGACAGGGGACACTCTGGCTCCCCTGTCCTCCCTCCCATGGTGACCCTGAGACCCTGAGTAACCCAGCCCCCCCAGCAGCTCCACCTCTGCAGCCGCGGGCTCCCTCCTCCAGGGCCCGGGTGCCCCCCGCCCCTTTCCTCCGCCCTCCACCCGTGTGCATACCCGTGTCCCTTTGGCTTCCTCCCACACGTGGCCCAGAGGAAATGCAGCCCTCCCTCTGCCTCCCCCGTGCCCGCAGACGCGCAGCTTGCACCGGCTGGGTTCACGTCCAGTCGGTGACCCTGACCCGACCCTCATGCGGGCCCCTAATGCTGCCTGGCAATCAGATTGCCTCAAATCGCCAGAATGGCCCAGGGTGGACCAGACCAAAGCCAGGAGCCTGGAACTCCATCCAGGTCTCCCACTTGTGTGCCGGGCCGACTTCCGCAGCCTTCCCAGGCGCGGTAGCAGGGGGCTGGAGTGGAGGTAGAGTAGTGGGATGCCGGCATGGCACGAGATGGCAGAGCCCGCTGTGCCACAGCGCCAGCTCCTTGCTCGTCTCCCCACCACGCAGGAACTAGCGAAGGGCAGAGGGCTTCCTCCCCACAGGACCTGCTGCAGGGCCCATCGCAGGCGCTGGCACGCAGGGCTCAGGAAAGAGACGTCCAAAGAACAAGCGAGAGAAGCGTCATAGCAACGCCCACTTCACAGATGAGGAGACTGAGGCGGCAGCACCCCGATTCCACAGAACTCGGGGCTGGTTCAAGACCTGGTGACAAACTTGTCTCCCTTCCCTCTTTTAGGCACAGCAGCCCAGCCTGCCTGGGTGCCAGGCCCAGCTACGCTTTTTGTTTTTTCAGACACACACACACACACACACACACACACACACACACACGGCTCCCACCTGCTGGGTCACTCCCCTAGTGCCTACCGTAGCCAGGAACGGGAAGGACGAAGCCTGGAGCCAGGAGCTCCACCTTGGTGTCCCACGGGGCTGGCAGGGGCCCAGTCACGGGGCCATCACTGCTGCTTCTGCGGGGCTGTTAGCAGGAAGCTGGAATCAGGAGCTGAGACTCAAACCCGCCCCCTGATGCGGATGCGGATGCGGGGAGCGGGCGTTTGAACCTCTGGGTCCAATGCCTGCTCCCTGGCTGCGCTTCTTGTCAGTTCCACGACCAGCGGCACTCGGACCTCTGTGCTGTCTTTCCCTCTTCTGACACGGGGACGCTGAGGTGCTACCGTGAGCAGGGACTAAGTTCAGACTTGTAGGGCACTTCAAGGCCTCTGGGGCTCACGCAAAGGAGTGATATTAATTGAACGTGAAGCTGTTACTTGCTGTTAAGATTGCACATGAGGGGCCGGCTCTGTGGCATAGCAGGTTAAACCCTGGCCTGAAGTGCAGGCATCCCATATGGGCATTGGTTCGAGTCCCAGCCTCTCCACTTCTGATCCAGCTCTCTGCTACGGCCTGGGATAGCAGTAGAAGATGGCCCACGTGCTTGGGCCCCTGCACCTGTGTGGGAGACTGGGCAGAAGCTCCAGGCTCCCGGCTTCAGATCGGTGCCGCTCCTGCCATTGTGGCCACCTGAGGAGTGAACCAGGGGATGAAAGACCTCTCTGTCTCTCTCTGTCTCCATCTCTCTCTAACTATGTCAAATAAATAAAAAATATTTTTTAAAAAAAGGTGTATGGAACAATGAACAGTTGCTTTGCTGCAAACCATTTTTGAAAACAACACATTTTCCATGAACTTTTTGGCAGTGCCCTCATTCTAAGTACGCTACAAGAGGATGCCTGTTGGGGATGCTCGGCAGAGGATTTGGGGGAGCTGGTGCCTGACCAGTGTCTGACCAGTGGCTTTGCCTGTACAGGGGAAGGCAGGTGTGTCCAGGAGTAGGGGGGTAGAGGGTTGTTGGTGGTTGTCATAGTAACTGGGGGATGCTCCTAGCATTGTTTCCAGGGACCCACGGTGCCCATGACAACCATATTTTCCCCAAATGGCTACAATAACGTCCTGACACGCGTGTGCGTGATTCTGTAACTCACTATGCTGTGGCGTGCGCGTTCTTCTTGGTCACCAGGCAGCCCCTAGCGAGTGCCTTTCACAGCGCTGCAGCCCTGACACTACTGAGGGGCTTTCCAGGACACATCCTAAGGGAGGCCCCCGCCTGACCCCCTGCTGAGCCACTGGTGCCGCAGGCGGGAGAGCTGGGGTCCCAGCAGCTGCTGCCTTTCGTGGTGTGGACAGGAGGGGACTCCCAAATGTCCATGGAAGGTGGGCTTTTGGCCCAGTGTTTAGCACTCTGGGTAAGAAGTCCATATCAGGCCGGTGTTGTGGCATGGTGGGACGCCCCCACCCCACGGTGAGCCCAGCACCTCCACTTCTGACCCAGCTCCCTGCTAACGCACACCCCAGGAGGCAGCAGATGACGGCTCAAGTGCTTGGGCCCCTGCCACTCACGGGGGACACCGGGATGGAGTTCTTGGCTCCTGGTTTCGGCCTGGGCCAGCCCCAACTGTTGCAGCCATCTGGGGAGTGCACCAGTGGATGGACCGTCCCCCTCTCTCTGCCTTCCAAGTTGATGAAAATAAACAAACAAGCATTAAAAAAATAAAAGATGACCGCACCTCACAGCACAGCACCGGGGTTTGAGTCCCTGGTCCCACTTCCAGTTCCGCGTTCCTGCTCACGCAGCCCCTGGGAGGCCGCAGGAGATGGCTCAGCCGGTCGGGTCTCTGGCAGCCAAGTGAGAGAGCCGGGATGGAGTCTCTGATCCTGGCTTTGGTCCCAGCCCTGGGTCCACTGCTGCGAGCACTGGGGAGTAACCCAGCAGATGGAACACTCTCGCTAAGAAAAAAAAATTGTGAAAAAACAGAATTAGAGGTAATGTGCGTTTTCCATGAATTTTTGGAAGAGCCCCTTGGACCCCAGCCATGGCCGAGTGCAGGCTATGGGTTGAGTTTCCTGGACTGTGCAGCTGGAATGATGTGCAACCAGATGGACATAACTGGCTCAAGCCAGTGCAAGCCAGCTCTAGGACCCCACTGCCGGAGCCCCACAGGCTGGCTGCCCCAAGCCATCCGGTGGGGGAGACCGCATGGACGGCACAGGGAGAGAGGGTGCCATTCCAGCCCCTCCCCGCCTATCCCACAGCGGTGAAGATGGCAGTGAGGAAGCTCCCAGGATCCAGCCCCAGCCGTGGCCACCTCACGAGCCCCCTAGGTGAGGACCACCAGCTGAGCCGTGAGAATGCTGCACTAGCTAAATGGCACGGAGCTCCCCCATCCTTGCGCTGTGTGGCACGGGTGGTGCCAGAGCCTTTGGTAAGAAACCAGTGGGCACCCTGGCTGTACACACGGACAGATCATCGGGGTCCAAATCCTGACCCCACCCACCTGCCACCATATTTATATCTTTTGAACCCAAGCAATTAAGTCAGGAGTAGCATGATTAAAAAAAAAAAAAAAACTTTTTAAGCATTGACTACTAATTAATTAATTTATTTATTTGAGAGATCAAAGGGAGATGTCAGCCCCTATCTGCTGGCTCATGCCCCAAATGCCTGCAACAGCCGAGACTGGGCCACACTGAAGCTGAGAACTTAGTCCAGGTTCTCCCACGTGGGTGCAGGGGCCAAGGACTTGGGCCACCTTCCACTGCTTTCCCAGGCCACAGCAGAGAGCTGGATCAGAAGAGGAGCAGTCGGGACTTGAACTCGTGCCCATATGGGATGCCGGCACTGCAGGAGGCAGCCTTACCCGCTACACCACAGCGCCAGCCCTCAAGTACTGGCTTAATGGCTGCACCACACGCTCACTCCTACCGCTATTTCAGCTGGTGTACAGTTGTAATTTAACTCAAAAATCTGGAATCTGAATCTTTTACCTCTTGAGAGTGGGATCAGTGAGCCAAGAACTCGCTTCAGGGTGAGTAGATGCCTACCCACTGATGGCATGGTACAGCAACAGAATCCTGTACCCTCACGCTTCGTGCGACACGACAGTCGGCACCGCTGCCCATGCACTGTCATTGTACTCACTCCTAGTTTTATGAGTCTGCAAGACTGAACCAGCTGTTCGTGTGGAGCATAATTCAGTGTCAGACCAAAACACTCACAGGCGTTGGCATTCCTACGCGGGTGTGTTCACCGTGTGACTCCTGCAGCTTTTCTGTATGGCTGAAAACCTGTCTGCATGCAGTCACTGTGGTGGGGGCCAGGAAACTCCACCTGGCCGTGATTCAGCATCTCTAAAACCTGCTGGGGGCCGGCACTGTGGCACAGTGGGTTAACGCCCTGGCCTGAAGAGCCAGCATCCTATATGGGCAGCGGTTCGTGTCCTGGCTCCTCCACTTCCAATCCAGCTCTCTGCTATGGCCTGGGAAAGCAGTAGAAGATGGTCCAAGTCCTTGGGCCCCTGCACCAGCGTGGGAGACCTGGAAGAAGCTCCTGGCTCCTGGCTTCGGATCAGTGCAGCTCCAGCCGTTGCGGCCATCTGGGGAGTGAACCATCAGATGGAAGACCTCTCGCTCTCTCCCTTTCCTCTCTCTTTGTAACTCTTTCAAATAAATAAAAATAAATCTTAAAAAAAAAGAAAAAAAAAAACCTGCTGGGACCCTCCTGCCCAGGGAAGAGCGCGGCCGAGGGCTTCCAGGACCCCAGGTTGCTGCCCCCATCAGAGAACGGGTGGGCAGAAGCTCCCTAACAGAACCAGATGGGCCTGGGCAAATCCCATCCCTGGGAGACTTTTTATTTCCTCTTCTAAAGATTTATCTATTTGTCTGAAAGGCAGAGTTACAGAAAGAGAAAGTGAGAGAAAGAAAGAGAGATCTTCCATCTGTTGGTTCACTCTTCAAATGGCCACAGTGGCTGGGGCTGGGCCAGGCCAAAGCCAGGAGCTTCTTCGGGGTCTCCCATGTGTGTGCAGGGGCCCAAATGTTTGGGCCGTCCTCTGCTCTTTTTCCAGATACATTAGCAGGGAGCTGGATAGGAAGTAGAGCAGCCAGGACTTGAACCTGTGCCCATATGGGATGCCAGCGTCAGAGGTGGCTGCTTAACCAGCTACGATGCTATCCCTTGAATATATTGCCAATCTCTGATGCTAGTTTTCTATCTTATAACATGGGAACAATTATTCCCTAACCTCAAGGGATTGATGTGGGTGTTGAAGGATGTTTGTGCTTAAGCCATGCCTAGGACTCAAGGAATAAAACTCAGTGGTGAAGGGGGCCAACACTGTGGCACAGTGGGTTAAAGCCCCTCCCATTCGAGTCCCGGCTGCTCTCATTTGTAGTCAATGCGGAAGATGTGTGAGGTTTTTCCAAAGGTCACAAATGTCTAAAAATAAAAATCCCCCTAAGTGGGGCTGTGTGAATCAGCCTGTGTTGGTCAAGGGTCAGCGGCAGAGCAGTCGCCATGCGTGCGTCCCGGCTGGCCGCACCTGCCCCCTGCTGCACGCTCGTGTGCTCCCGCCCGAGTTCTGGGCACAGAGAGGGCTGCGGACGACCGCACCGCCCTGTGTATCTCTAAAGGGGCTTTGAAGGATCACCCCACAGACAGGCTCACTGTGGGAGGCGAGAGCTTGGCTTCCCCAACAGGGACACTGGGCGGCGGGCACGCGGACAGGAACCCTACGCAGATGGAGACCCCTGGCGCATACAACCCCCCGTGGAAGGAAACCCCATGCAGCCGGTCACCCCACATAGACAGCGTCCACGTGCCAGCTACAAATCTTTAAACCTTTAACATGCATCCTCTCTAAGAAAAAATAGGAGCATTCATGGGTCTACACTGCGATCCCACTTCGAGAAATCCATTCTACCATTTCACACACACTCCATGGGCAGTCCCCCACCTTCCCCACAAGTCCAGGTGTGTGCGTGTGTGAGTGTCACACGCTAGGGCGGTCGCATCTGTGCAAAATCCTTTGACTTAAAGCACTGCCTCTCCCTCGCTGTGGTGCCAGTTCGAGGCCCGGCTGCTCCACTTCCGATCTGGCTCCCTGCAAATGCGCCTAGGCAAGCAATAGAAGATGGTCCAAGTGCTTGGGTCCCTGCACCCGTGTGGGAGACCCGGATGGAGGTCCAGGCTCCTCGGAGGGAATGAACATCTCTCTCCCTCTCTCTCAGTAGCTCTGCCTTTTAAATAAAATAAATAAACCTTGTAAAAGATTTTTATCACGGAAAAAAAAAAAAGAAACCTAGGGCAGACTCCTTTCTCTTGGGTTTGTGAGCCGTAGTAATAACTTGGTGACATTAAATAATTAATATTTAAACACACGCAAACACTTTGAAAACACGTCTGCTCGGCCGTGTAGGAAACAAGTGGCCACGACGCTCTCGGGCTGCAGAAGCGGTGGCAGGGAGGCCGCAGCGGGGCCCCGGGGACGCGGGCAGACGCCGCCCACGGGGAAGCCGGGCCGATGGCCGCGCCGCGTCACAGCCCGCGGCCTTGATCCAGAGCCGGCGGTGCCCCCGCCGAGGTCGGAAACCACGCACCGGGCGCCGCCAGCCGCTCCGGCCGCGCGTGGAAAGTAACTGCGTCCCAGGAGCGCGACGCGGGAGCCGCCGGAGGCGCGCGGGCAGAGGGCCGCGGAGCGCGGTCTCCTCTGTCCGCGTGTCCCGGAACGCGGCGGGACAACGTCACGCTGTACTTGGAGTCGGGACACTTCGGTCAGGGCGCGAAACACGGTCCCGAGCGCGGCCCAGGCTCCGGGGCGCGGGGACCCCGGGCGCGCACGGCCCAGCTCGCCGGGCGGCCCCGCGGAGGGCGAGCACACGACGCGCGCTCGGGTCCCGACCTGGGTCCTTACCAGTCCCGGCGCGAACCAGGCGACCCGCTCGGACACGGCGGCGGGCGGCGACGCCCCCTTCCCCACCCTGCTCTGGCAGGCAGCGGGGGCTCCCCGGGATCGGCCCGGCCCAGGGAGCCCCGGGACCCAGGGTCCGCGTGGGGGCCTCTCCCGGGGGTAGCGGCTGAAGCCCGGCGGTGTTCGGGGCTGGCGGCTGCGAGCCCAGGCCCCAGCGCCAGCGCGGCAGCCCCCTGCTCCGGCGGCTGCGCGGGGCGGGCGCGAGGCGGGGCCAGCCCGGTCCCTGGGCGACCACTGCCCCCGAGCGCCCCAGCTCGCTAAGCCCCACCCCACTCCGTTTGCTCCTCGGTCTGGCCGGGCGGTCTCCCCTCCTCGCCACACTCGCGCGTCCCAGGCACCGGCTTCCCGCGACAGACCCCGGCCCTGATCTGCAACTTCTCCCCCGAAGGGAGCTGAAAATGTTTATTTTGGTGCAAATATTTATTTAAAATTTAGGTATAGTTTTTGCAACAACATGCCTTTCTGTTAACTTTTTTAAGACCCCACAGTATGCGTGGGTTTAAAAAAATTTTTTTTAAAGATTTATTTATTTGAAAGCCGGAGTTACAGAGAGACAAGAGAGAGCCAGATCTTTATCCACTGGCTCACTCCCAAAACGGTCCCCAGATGGTCTACTCCGATGTCAGGAGCTACTCCTGGGTCTCCCAGGAGGGTGCAGGGGCCCAGGTGCTTGGGCCGTCTCCTGCTGCTTTCCCAGGCCATAGCAGAGGGCTGGATCTGAAGTGGAGCAGCTGGAGCTTGAACCAGCGCCTGTATGGGATGCTGGCATTGCAGGTGGCAACCCCAATAAATTTATCTTTTAACTCCACCCTCCTTGACCTTTCTGAAGTAGTCTGTGTCCGGTGCCGGCCACCTGGCGTGGTCTGAGAAATGCCCCAGAAGCGGCCAGCCCGCAGAGTGATTTGAAGCCAGTGAGGAAGCCGTGGGGATAATCACCAAATATGTGATGGGTGCCTGGCATTCTGGGTGCAAGTGAATCTGTAAGAGGGGAGGTTTCTTAGATTTAATCTTTTTTAAATTTAATCTGTTAAAGACAGAATTAGAGGCAGAGGAAGAGAGAGAGGTCTTCCATCCGCTGGTTCACTCCCCAGATGTCCACAATGGCCAGAGCTGCACCCATCCAAAGCCAGGAGACAGGAGCTTCTTCTGGGTCTCCCACGCAGGTGCAGGGGCCCAAGGACTTGAGCCATCTTCCACTGCTTTCCCAGGCCATAGTAGAGAGTTGGATTGGAAGTGGAGCAGCCGGGACTTGAAACTGCCCATATGGGACAAGGGCACTGCAGGCAGTGGCTTTACCCGCTATGCCACAGCGCTGGCTCCAAGAGGGGAGTCCTTGTCACCACAGGTCCAGGCAGGCACAGTTCACAGAGGCCGGTGCTGTGGCTCGGGACATTAAGCCGCCACCTGCAATGCCAGCACCCTGAATCAGAGCGCTAGCTCCAGTCCCAGCTGCTCCACTTCTGATCCAGCGCCCCACTAACGCACCTAGCAAGGCAAGGGAAGATGGCCCAAGTGCTCTGGTCCCTGCCAATCACCTGGAAGATCCGGATGGAGTTCCTGGCTCCTCTGCCTTCCGCGGTCCCTGGCCCTGACCCATGTGGCCATTTGGATAGAAGATTGTCTCAAGCCGGCGCCGTGGCTCAATAGGCTAATCCTCCACCTTGTGGCGCCGGCACACCGGGTTCTAGTCCCGGTTGGGGCGCCGGATTCTGTCCCGGTTGCCCCTCTTCCAGGCCAGCTCTCTGCTATGGCCAGGGAGTGCAGTGGAGGATGGCCCAGGTGCTTGGGCCCTGCACCCCATGGGAGACCAGGAAAAGCACCTGGATCCTGGCTCCTGCCTTCGGATCAGCACGGTGCGCCGGCTGCAGCGGCGGCCATTGGAGGGTGAACCAACGGCAAAGGAAGACCTTTCTCTCTCTGTCTCTCTCTCTCACTGTCCACTCTGCCTGTCAAAACTTTAAAAAAAAAAAAAAAGATTGTCTCCCACCCCATAACTCTTTCAAATAAAAACTTTATTTATTTTTGACAGGCAGAGTGGACAGTGAGAGAGAGAGAGAAAGTGACAGTGACAGAGAGAGAGAAAGGTCTTCCTTATCCGTTGGTTTACCCCGCAATGGTCGCTGCAGCCAGTACACCGCGCTGATCTGAAGGCAGGAGCCACGTGCTTCTCCTGGTCTCCCATGGGGTGCAGGGCCCAAGCACTTGGGCCATCCTCCACTGCACTCCCGGGCCACAGCAGAGAGCTGGCCTGGAAGAGGGGCAACCGGGACAGAATCCGGCACCCCGACCGGGACTAGAACCTGGTGTGCCAGCGCCGCTAGGCGGAGGATTAGCCTATTGAGCCACGGCGCCGGCCTTCAAATAAAATCTTTTTAAAAAGAAACGTGTCAACACAGATCAAATGTTAGGGTAATAAGGCTTAAGCTCCTCCAGGGCCGGAGAGCTCAGTGCTCAAATGGAACCAAGGTGAGCTTCAGGTGCACTTGGCCCCACCTGCACAGGTGTTCCTCCTGCAGCCCAGGTGCCTGCTGGCCGCCTCTCTTCCCGGACCCTGCCGAAAACCCGAAGGACAGCTTTGGAGAACACCAGCTGCTTCGGGGGTCTTGAAATAGCAATGAGTCATGATGAAGACTTCCCAGCTGCTCTCGGGTCAGCTGGTTCCTACAGAGCGAGCGTGTGCCCCAGGGAGGGGGCTGCTCTGAACTTGATCCCTCAGCCACCCACGCCTGTCTGCTGCAGGCCACACCTGTCACTCCTCCTTCAGTGCTCCCACCCCCAGCCCACCGTGAACCCAATCTGCACGTGTGAATGGAAGCCTGCCAGGACACAGGTGCGTCCCATCAGTGGTGCCTGCTGTAACTTCCTGTGGGCCTAAGCCTGGCTGGCAGCACCGTCATTCCAAAGTCATTTCTGATGCCTAAGGTAGTTTTGAATTTATTTTTCCCCCAAAGAAACCTTTTACAAACTTCTTGTATTTCACAAATACAACTTTGGGAACATGGAGATTCTTCCCATTGTACCCCTCCTCCTCCTCCCTCTCCTATTCACAGTCTTATTTTTTACTAACATCTATTTCCAATTAACTTTACATATTTTTAAAAAGATGTATATTTATTTGAGAGTTAAACAGAGAGAAAAGGAGAGGCAGAGAGAGAGGTCTTCCATCTGCTGGTTCACTCCCCAGTTGGCCACAACGGCTGGAGCTGTGCAGATCCGAAGCCTGGAGACAGGAGCTTCCTCCGGGTCTTCTCATGCAGGTGCAGGGGCCCAAGGACGTGGTCATCTTCTACTGCTTTCCCAGGCCATAGCAGAGAGCTGGATTGGAACTGGAGCAGCTGGCACCCATATGGAAGGCTGGCACTGCAGCTTTACCCGCTACACCATAGCACCGGCCCCTCAATTTTATACACAAAATATTAACTCTATACTAAGTAAAACAATTCGGTAATTTGTATAAAAAAAAAAAGTTCAACAGTTGAGACAAGGGCTGTTCAAAGTCACTGCATCTCGAATTTCATTCTTTAGAAACTTTACACTTTAAAGAGGCTCCCAAGAATGATACATCTTTTGCAAGCACTTAGACATAAAAATATCTTCCACTTAATACACTAAAATGAAATAAATCTTTGCGAACAAGTTTTACTGTTAACTCTATCTTTGAGGATAGAGGGTCCTGCATGGGAAGTTAGTGCACCGTGACTCCTGTTGTTAAATTTAACAATTAACACTCTCCTGTATGACGTCAGTGATCAACCGAGGCTCCTGACATGAGCTGCCTAGGCTATGGAAGCCTTTTGAATCCAGACTCCAGCAGTATTTCAACAACGTCATGAGCAAAGTGGAAGTTCTCTCCTCCCTTCAGAGAAAAGTACATTCCTCTTTGATGACCACTTCTTTCCACTGGGGTCTCACCCACCAAGATCCTTCATCTAGGATGTTTTTTTGCCACAGTGTCTTGGCTTTCCATGCCTGAAATGCTCTGGTGGGCTTTTCAGCCAGACCGGAATGCCTTGTGGGCTGATTCTGAGGCCAGCGAGCTACTTAAAGCGATAGTCATTCTATGAGTCTGCTGTGTGGACTGCTTCCCATGTTGGAGCATTCTCTCCTTTTTAACTCTATTATAATCACCAAACACTTAATTCTATCTACATGATCACTTTAACACTTAAAATGTTTTGCCACCCAGCTTAAGGGGATTTGGGGTCCCATGGCAAGTTTTAAAATTGTACCCTTAGAAGTGAAGTCAGTCTGTAGGAATGTATGCAGAACTATACAGCTTTACAGTTACAAACTTCATGTCATAAGTACAACTTTAGGAACATGGTGATTCTTCCCACCGTGCCCACCCTCCCACCCTTATTCCCACCCTCCTTCCTCCTCCCTAAATTTTACTAAGATCTATTTTCAATTAACTTTATATACATACGATTCTGAAAGTAATCTTGTGTTCCTCTTGTGCACATTTTGGAATATTTTCTTTATGTTTCACTGTGGAGACTTTGACTACAATGTGTTGCAATGAAGACTTCTTCTGGCCATGTCTATTAAGAGTTCTATGTGCTGCCTGTATGTGGATGTCCCTTTCTTTCTCCAAATTAGAGGAGCTTTGTTATTTCACTAAGACCTTCTAATCCTTCATCTCTTTCCATGCCTTCAGGAACTCCTAGGACCAGTATGTTAGGTCGTTTGAGAGTATCCTATAGATCTCCAACAGTGTTTTTTAGTTTTCAAATTTCTTCCTGTTTTTGGTCTGACCGTAAAATTTTCTGCAATTTGTCTTCTAAGTTGGATATTCTTTCTTCTGCTTTACGGATTCTGTTGTTAAGGATTTCCACTAAATTTATCAGTCGTTCTACTGAATTCAACATTTCCGGTTTCATTTTATTCAACTCTTCCAAGATTTCATTTTGATTTTTATTTAAGATGCGCATATCTTGGGAGAACTTTCCTTTCAGGTCCTGTATGAATTCCGTTACTTCATGCACTTGCTTCTGACTACTTGTAAGTACTCGTATGCTCAATTTTTTTAATTCCATTTCTGTCAGTTCTTCAGTCTCTTCATTTTCACATTCTGGTATTGAAGTATGTTCTTTTGGGGGCATCCTGTTGTCTTCCTTATTCTTGTTTCTTGAATTCCTGCGTTTATTATTCGGCATTTCTGGAGATACTCGTTGGTTTCTTTGTGAGA